ATAATCCAAATATAAATAAATAGAAAGTTACATATTGTGATGAGTGATAAGGAAGAAAAAGATGAGTATTTTTTTAGTACAAAAAAGATATCAAATTTTAGATGGAACTATAACAAGATAAATATTAGTTTAGTTTTCATAGCTTCGTTATGATATGAGAAAAGACTAAAAATTGTATTTTATAAAAAGTGAAAAAACTCTTAAGCTGCTAAACAAGTACCAACAGAATTTAAGATCCTTCTAAAAATATCAAAGATCAATTTATTCAAAATCAGAAAAGCTACATATACTCTTTAGTTTAAGATGAGTTATACAATGTGATATGTTGAATTAATACTCTGGATACATTTTGTTTCAAAAGACTTCCAAATCAAAAAGAAAGGTTGTCAGGGCCAGCCGAGTGGCTCGGTTGGTTAAGAGTTTGTTTAAGAGCACAAGCTCTGAGCAACAGGGTTGCAGGCTCGACTCCCACATGGGCCAGTGAGCTGCGCCTGAGCTGAGCTGCTGCTGAGCTGCCACCAGGTGGCAGGATGGCTCAGCTGGTAAGAGCACATGCTCCTAATGACAAGATTGCCTGTTCGATGGTGGGCCACGCCCACCCGTGGCTGGGACTTAATTCCACACCTTGAGCTGAGCTGCCGCCTGGATGGCTCAGTGGATAGAGCGTGCGCTCTTTTTTTTAAAAAAGATTTTATTGGGGAATTGGGGGAGGGGAACAGCGCTGGGGAATCGGGGGAAGGGGAACAGACAAGTTGCTGTCCTTTTGTTCTTCAGTCTAGTTGTGGAGGACATTGCTTCACTGGCCCATGTTGGTATTATCATTACGCTCTTCCCAGGCGAAGCAGATCGGTCGCCGGCCTCTGGACAGCCGCTCATGGCAGCTCACACCAGCTGCCAGCTGCTCACACTGGCTGCCAGCCACACACGGTAGCTTATGGCAGCCCACTGCAGCAGGGGCTTCAACCTATGCCATCGCCGGTGACTCACGTCAGCCCAGCTCCAGGTTGAGCTGTTGTTCACCATCTTAGCTGTAGAGGGCAGTGTCACTGGCCTCCATGTGAGATCCAAACTGGGACCCTGCTGCTCAGAGCTGGTGTTGCAAGCCAGCTCTGAACCAACGCGCCACTCGGCCGGCTCCATAGAGTGTGCGCTCTTAACAGCAAGGTTGCTGGTTCGACTCCCTCATGAAAAAAAAAAAAAAGTCAATTTGTAGCCTATAAAATCAGATTCATAGCATGAGTTTTAAAAATCCTTCAGATATGTCAGAAAAGATTTTCCACTAGATATAAAAAAGGTTGTTTCTATTATAATAGATGGTGCTCCACTGGGTTAGGTTAAAAATGTGGATTCCTTGGAATTTCAAGGCAAGAAATTGATGTTTCCATAATTGCTTTGCTCCACAGTATGAAAAGTATAGTTTAGTATATATACATGTAAATATTATGCATCAGAGTCACTTTATGGAACTGTTGAAAGAAATAGAAAACAATGAATTTATGTTCTTTGCCAATGCTCAGTGGTTGAATGGTGGAATAATTTTATAAAGATTTACTGTACTTTGAACTCCAAGACTTTCTTTAAAACAGTATTTGCCAAATGTTTCATAATTAAATCCCAACAAATGACAGTATGATTTATTTTCCCACCAGTATCATACTGCATATGGACAAACAAAATCTGAAACTCCAACGACAGAGAAAGCTTTTTTATGACATACCTGAAAGGGTAAGAACATTTGTTGAAACTGAAATTTTTCATAAGTTAATGATAATTTTACATATATTATAGCATGAGTAAATATACAGAACTATTTCACTGGAATCAAAAGCACTGTGAAAATGTGTTAGCAATGAAGAGAAATCTTGGTACAGTAATAGAAACTATAAAAATACTAAATGAAAATTCTACAACTGAAAAATGCAATATCTCAAATTAGATATATGATAGATAAGCTGAATATCATAATGGAGATGACAGAGAAAAATATCAGTGAACTTGAAAATAGAGCAATAGAAAAACAAACAAAAAGACTGAAGATAATAACAGGGCCAGTGACCTGTGGAATAATGTCAAAAGATTTAACTTATGAGTACTTGGAATCCCAGGAGCAAAGCATAAAAAATACCTGAAGATATATATAATGGCCAACATTTTCTGAGATTCGGTGAAAGGCACAAATGTACAGATTTCAGAGGCTCAGAAAACCCCAGAAAGGATTAACACAAATAAACCATACTAAGGCACATTGTAGTCAAACAGTTGATAACCAACGATAATGAGAAAACCTTGAAAGCACTCTGAAAAATGACACATTACATACAGAGGAAAAATAATTCAAACGGCTTATAATCATAACCCAGGGAGGCCAGAAGTCAGTGATACATTATCTTTGTTTATAAAAATAAAAACAAAACCCATAATTCTATAGCAAGAAAAAGATATCTTTCAAGAACAAAGGCATTTCAGTAAAAGAAACTATGAAAATTTGTGACCAGCAGATGTACATGCCAAGAAATGCTAAATGGATTTCTTCCAGCTGAAGGGAAATGATAGCAGATGGAAATTCAGATCATTGGGAAGAAATGAAAAGCATGGCAAAAGGTAAAAATATGGGTATATAGAAAAGATGGGGGGTTTTTTGTCTTAGTTTCTTTAAAATACATAAGACTTTAAAAAATTTCCAAGTTGAATGCCATTGTGATTTTCCATGGGTTATTTATTAAATGAAAATAAAAAAATGTACTGATATAAAGGAGAGAGCTGGTGAATCAAGAGATCAAACATAGTTTCATTAGCATGTCACCTGATATTTTATAATATTAAGTATATAATATTATCTATGAAGTATTCTTGCCAAAAATGTTACATCTGAAACCTAATCAAATTTCTAGACCTCCAGTTCACAATACAAACGATAGAAAAATAAGTTAAGCTTATCTTGAGAAACAATAGGACAAATACAGAATATACATTATATAGGTTACTTCTCCCGAGTCTTCAAAATGTCTAAGTCACAAAAAAGGTGACCAAAATAGACTCAATAAGCCATAAGCATATAAAAGATAGGAGCTTAGTTTGGTGCTCAGCTTTTAAAAAACACAGTACAGTAAAACCTTGGATTGCGAGTAACTTGGTTTGCGAGTGTTCCGCAAGATGAGCAAACATTTCTATTAAGTTGGTGCAAAAGTAATAGTAAAAGTAATAGTAATTACTTTTGCACCAATCTAATACTACATTTAACTTGGTAAACAAGTGATGTCTTGCAATACGAGTAGTTTGTTTCTGGAATGAATTATGCTCGGAAACCGAGGTACTACTGTATGTTTAAAAAGACATTCTTTAAACAATTGGAAAAATTTGTAAATGGATTGAATATTACAGGACACTGTAGGGTTACTGTTAATGTTTTTTTAAGTGACAATGGTATAGTTGTTATGTAAGTTATCTTTAAATCTAGGAGTTGTATGTTGATTTTTTTTTTAATTGGGGAATTGGGGGAGGAGAACAGCACTGGAGAATCAGGGGAAGGGGAACAGACAAGTTGCTGTACTTTTGCTCTTCAGTCTAGTTGTGGAGGACATTGCTTCACTGGCCCATGTTGGTATTATCATTGCGCTCTTCCCGAGTGAGGCAGATCTGTCGCTGGCCTCTGAACGGCCGCTCACGGTGGCTCTTGTCAGCTCACACCAGCTGTTGGCCGCTCACATTGGCTGCTGCCCACACACAGTAGCTTATGGCAGCCCACTGCAGCAGGGGCTGCAGCCTATGCCGTCGCCAGCGACTCATGGCAGCCCAGCTCCAGGTTGAGCTGTTGTTCAGCATCTTAGCTGTAGAGGGCAGTGTCACTGGCACTCATGTGGGATCCGAACCAGGGCTCTGCTGCTCAGAGTTGGCATCCCAAGCCTGATCTTAACCAACGTGCCACTCAGCCAGCCCTGTATGTTGATTTCTTAGAGATGAAGTGATACCTAAAACATTCACTCACAAAGCACACCAAAATGATATGTAACATATATATCATTTACATATTATTATATATTCAATATATAATGGGTATAATATATGTACATCTGTATATATATTTTTTCATACATATGAGAGAGAGTGATCTATCTCACATATACTGAATCTAGGTGGAGGGCAAACAAACTTTCATTGTTTTACCTTTTATGTAAATTTGAAAACTTTAAAAAACTTGAGGAAAAGGTCTCCACGTCAACTTTTGTCTTTTGGCTACCCAATTGTTAATTTCTAATTTCTTTGAATTACAAGGGATGTGGATTCTTTGTTATCTGTATTATAGAATTTAAGAAAATTTCGTTAAACCACTCTGCAATTTTTCAACAACTATAGTCAACATTCAACAAAGGCAAGGGTGTCTTCCCTGTTATTATTAATCTTCAGGGGGATGGGCTTTGAATAAAAAAGCTTCTTGTTTAATATATCCTATGAGGGCCGGCCAAGTGACGTGTTGGGTAAGAGTTGGCTTGGGAACACCAGCTCTGAGCAGCAGGGCCCCAGTTCGGATCCCACATGAGGGCCAGTGACGCTGCGCCCTCTACAGCTAAGATGGTGAACAACAGCTCGATCTGGAGTTGGGCTGCTGTGAGTCGCCAGCGACAGCGTAGGCTACAGTGGGCTGCTGTAAGCTATTGTGAGCGGCCAGCAGCTGGCGTGAGCTTCTGTGAGCCACCATGAGCGGCCGTCCAATGGCCCACGAGCAAGTGCCTCAGCTGCGAAGAGCGCAATGGTCATAATACCAACATGGGCCAGTGAAGCGATGTCCTCCACAACTATACTGAAGAACAAAAAGACAGCAACTTGTCTGTTCCTTTTCCTCGATTCCCCAACGCTGTTCCCCTCCCCCAATTCCCCAATAAAAATTTTAAAAATAATAAAATTATATATATTATACGCTACGCGATTTTGTCCAGAAAGAATTATCTGAAATAGAATATGAATGACAGGTGAAATATTTTTAGAATATCATGCTCATGGTGTCTTCCTTCCACATGAATTTATTTGTAGTAATACTAGTGATTATCATAAATATAATATTTAGTAAGCAAACAGTATGTGCCAAATACCCTTCCAAGAGTTTATATGTTATATTAAATAATTTAATCTTTACCATAACACTTTGGGTGATAATGGTCAAAGATGTGCCATGGCTACAGGCTTGTAGACTCTAATTACATTAGGAGTTTCTCACCACTGTGAAATCTTTGATGTTGAATAAGTTGATAGCAATGACTAAAGGCCTTCCCACATTGCTTACATTTGTGTGGTTTCACGCCAGTATGAATTCTCTGATGTTGAGTAAGTCTATCACTACGACTACCGGCCTTTCCACATTCTCTACATTCATAGGGTTTTTCACCTGTATGAATTCTTTTATGTTGAGATAGCCCTGAGATAGAATGAAAGGCCTTTTTACATTCTTTACATACATATGGTTTCAAACCAGTATGAATTGTCTGATGATAAATTAGTTGAGAATTAAGTCTAAAGGCTTTTACACATTCCTTACATTCATAGGGTTTCTCCCCCTCATGAATTGACTGATGTGTTTTATGGTCTCCAACACGACTGAAGGCTTTCCCACATTGTTGACATTCATATGGTTTCGAATCAGTATGAGTTATCTGATGTTGAATAAGGTATGAATGAAGTTTAAAAGTCTTCCCACATTCTTTGCATTCATGTGGCGTCTCACCAGTATGAATTCTCTGATGTTGTGTAAGTTGAGAGCCTCTACAGAAGGCCTTTCCACATTCCTTACAATCATAGTTTCTCACTACTATTAATTCTCTATGTTTAAGAAGGCTCGAGCCTCTGCTGAAGGCCTTTCCACAGTCCTTACATTCATGCGGCTTCTCACCAGTATGACTTCTCTGATGTTCAATAAGTAAATAGCTGCGAACAAAGGCCTTTCCACATTGTTTACATTTATACGTTTTCTCACCAGAATGAGTTTTCTTAAGTTGATAAAGACTTGAACGATGACCAAAGGCCTTCCTACATTCCTTACATATATAGGGTTTTACACCGTGATGAATTTTCTGATGTAGCCACATATTTCGGTACAATCTAAAAGTTTCTGCACATTCCTTACATTCATAGGGTTTCAAAGCAATATGAATTTTCTGATGTTCAGCAAGGTGAGAATGACGTCTAAAGGCCTTCCCACATTGCATGCATCCATAGGGTTTCACACCAGTATGAATTATCTGATGTTGTATAAGCTGTGAATAAAACCTAAAGGCCTTCTCACATCCATTACATTCATAGTGTTTCAGATCAGTGTGTATTTTTTTATGTCTAATGAAATGCTGGAGAACTATAAAGGCCTTTCCACATTCCTCACATTCATAGGGTCTCACATCACTGTGGTCCCTCAGATGTTCAGTAAGGTGTGAGTATTTTCTAAAGCCCTTCCTACAGTCCTGACATTCGTATTTCTCTCTAGTGTAAATTCTCTGATGTAGAGGAAGGGATATATGTTTTCTGAATATCATTTGACTAAAATATCCCAATTTAGGTTCCCATTGTCTCCCAAATTCAGTTCTGCACTGTGGGTCATTTCTGAAAATAAACCTCATAAGGTTCAAGGTTTTACTTCTTCTCATTGTCTCCCGATGATATGAATTTACTTCATAATTGCTTTTTTCTGAAGATAATTTGTTGGTCTCAGTTGTGAAATCAAAGTCTGAAAGAAAATGAGAAAAAAAACAAATGTTATTTTCCTCTACTGGGGGTGGTGAGCTGCCTTGTATAGTAAAAATAATGACAAATTGACAAGTATATCCATTAGAAGTAAAAGGGTCATACAATTCTAAAACACTGTCATGAAATTTTTTAAAGGGAAGAAGAGCTCAGAAACTTATGAAAGTTCACATGAGAATGTATTGGGTCGTCAGGAAAGTCATGACGCATTTTTGCATTGAAAAACAGAAAAAAATACGTCATGACTTTCCTGATGACCCAATAGTTTTGTAAGTAAGCAAAGAGAAAAAGTTTGTATTTCTCACATTCAGTTGGGGATCAGAATTACCAGGGGAACCTCTTTACATAATACTGCCTTTTAGATACCCACTGAGACTGTATGAATCAGAAGCTATAGGAGTAGGTCCTGCTCATCTATCTACATTTCTAACATTTTCTGCCAGATGGCTATGTAATTTTTTCAATGATTTGTCTTTATCTTAGACTGAAACCCAAACACATAGCCATAATCTTTGTCCTCTATATCCTACCACTCTGCATTTTTTCAGCTACTAGAACACACCACAACCTCTCCCATCACCCGGAGCTCCATGCAGGTGCTCTACCTTTCAGGATCCTCTTAGGTGGCTTCTTTTAGTTACCATCTTTAGGTGTTGCAGGTTAGAAACCACTTCCTCAGAAAGACTACCTCTGCTAACTCTAAGTAAATGCATATCACTTATTCTATATCCCAACACCTAATCTTTGCTTTCATAATGCTTTCATCACATATTGATGAGCTCATTTGTTTTACCATTTATTTTCTCACTCTAAAGCTCAAGTGTAGATGCAAAACATAATTTAACCACCACTGAAAAACAAGTCCCTACCACAAAGTATTAAATAATTAATTGTAGCATAAAATATTGAATTAAAAAGGTAACTTGGATGAAAATAAAGGTAAACGATGAGAATCATGGTCACTGGGGAAGGCAACTGAGTAAAATAACCATTTAGTTTCTGAAAATGATGCAACAGTTAATTATTTCTCCCTGATTCTAATCTCATACACCTTATTATATAGTAAATAATGCTTTTCTCTATCATTTACATTACAGATGAGAAAAATGCACATCCAAACTAGCTCAATCAAAAATATAACTGGAAAAATGTGATAACTGATCATTCTCCAATTGCATTTCCTTTTAAAAATATACATGTCTTTACCACTATTGGTCAATCTTTCCTGTGCATAGTCATGAGTGTTTTCTGTTTTTATCTCAGTTAAGGTAATCAGTTATTGTATTACCTTCATTGATAGAGTTTTAATATTATCCATCCATCCTTCAGATGCTCAATCTGTTTTGTTTCTCCAATACATTTCCCAAATTCTCCCTTCTATTCCTTTATAGCCAAGGCTAATCATTCTTGAATTTTGCAGAAATGTATTTCAGTCATTTTTCAGGAATTGTATTAGTTAACATTATTTTTAAAGGCTTATGTAAGTCTAAGCAAATACATTTGGCGATGTTGGGGAACAAACAAAGTAAATAATATGAGGAAAGAGTCTGGGAAACTGAGTGCCTGGGACTCTGTAACAAAGGGTATGTTGAATGTAGGCTGAAGACTGGTAATCCAGACAACAGAGCAGCTTGAAGAAATCTAATGTGCTAAATGGGTCAAGTATAAGTTCAAGACAAGTGGAATTCTTATACAAATAAAGTATGGTATGTTTACAAAGTTGAAATAATACAAACAATATTCTCTGAAGCAATAAGAAATGAGTAACAATCACAAAAAGCCAAAAACACTTTGTTTATAAATAAAAAGCTCTCAATGACTGTTAAGTCAATGAGAATACACAAACAAACCACAGAGCTTCTTGAGAACAATGATAATGAAAATAGTATGTATCAGAATCAATGGCCCTAACTATAGTGCTGCAAACTCAGACTAAAAGGCCTACATGGAAAATAAAATACAAAGAATGAATTAAGCATTCTGTTTAAAAGTTAAAGAAAATAGAAAAGGAGTGATGATGTACACTGAAGAAGACAGAAAAGGGAAATCATTATGATAAGGGCAAACTTTAAGTAAAACTGTACAATTGACCCATACAAACCAGTAGCCTACATATTCAGGGAATAAAAGGAGGAAAATCCAAACATCATGACAATAGGGAAACAGTCATCAATGAAGAAATAGAAAATGTTAAAAAACTCATACAACTATGAAATAAATTTGAGATACACATGAACTGATGAATCTTTCTGAAAATATAATTTATCAACACTGACCCCCAACTAGATTTACTGACTTTGTTTCTAAAAAATACAGTACGGAAAGGAAAAAATAATAACCTTACAGTAAAGAAAACTGACAGATGCTATCTTAAAGAAGTTTTTAAGGTTAACATCCCAGTGATAGATCATGTTGCTATCACATATCCCCAATATGATACAATGAGAAGAGCACTTCTCTGGTTTTCTTCCCTCAAATCCATAATCTCAGTTTAAGCCTAAGAAAACATCAAACAAACCCAAATTTAGGGGCACTACAAAATATCTAACCAGTACTCTTCAAAAGTATTCAGGTCAGGGCCGGCCGAGTGGCGCGATGGTTAAGAACTGGCTTGGGACGCCAGAGGGCCCTGGTTCGGATCCCACATATGAGGGCCAGTGACACTGCCCTCCACAGCTAAGATGCTGAACAACAGCTCAACCTGGAGCTGGGCTGCCGTGAGTCGCCGGCGACGGCGTAGGCTGCAGTCCCTGTGGCAGTGGATTGCCATGGGCTACCGTGTGTAGCCAGCAGCCAGCGTGAGCGGCCAGCAGCCACAGTGAGCGGCCATCCAAAAGCCAGCGACTGTTCTGCCTCCCCCGGGAAGAGTGGAATGATGGTGCCAGCTTGGGCCAGTGAAGCAACGTCCTCCACAACTAGACTGAAGAACAAAACGACAGCAACTTGTCTGTTCCTCTTCCCCCAATTCCCCAGCGCTGTTCCCGTCCCCAATTCTCCAATAAAAATCTTTTAAAAAAATAAAAAGGCCAGATTTGAGTGAGGCCTATGGGGAGAGTACGCTGCAGCAGTTTTAGGATGTGGTGCAAGCATATCCGCATCTTAGGGCATAAAACCTAGCAGTAGTGGGAAAAGAAGCCATGTGAAGTTAATGACAAACATCATTAGGGGAATCCTAACATGGGTCCTAGGGTTCTGGAAAGGCCATCTGCAGCAGAGAATGATATACCTTTGATAAATAACTCTTGGCATGCTGGTGGAACCTGGTAGAGATGAAGCACTTGACCATGGGACATCAAATGACCATGTGGCCATAACGGTCCATGGTGAGCTGGGTTCTCAGACCCACTGAATCCTAACACCCCCATTGAAAGATGAATGTGGTACATCTTGAATGAAGCATGATTAGGACCCTGTCTCATCTAGATGATCAAGGTCAGCATCAACAATGATAAGTTATATTGATTACACACCCTTGATATGATGTGATAAAGATAAAGAGGCACTTTACATTTGTAATAGGCTGAAACAAAAAAAAACCTGCCAACCAAGAAAGCTCTATCCTCCCTTGGGTCAGTTGGGCGCCAGATATCATGTCCCGCGTGAAGGGCTGGGATTTAGAGGAGGGGCGGCGAAGGGTTAAGAAATCACAAGAGTCAAAAATAGAGTTTCTGCGGGCCAGGGGTCTTGTCTCTGCAGACTGAGAGAGCAAGCCCTGATACTGGCGGGCAAATAACTTTTATTTACAACTGTCACAAACAAGTCAATTTGAATATCTATATCCAGTTCATTGATTCGATAAGACCGGCAGCTGCTTCACCGAAACTCATTGTGGTCAAGCATGAGTTGTGCTTTCACACATACGTATGATCCCCGGGATGGCCTCAGCATTCTGAGACCACCGGATAAGGTAGTTTTACTGAGATCATTCCCTCGGGTCTTAGCATTCCAAGACACTCCCTTATGACTTCAAAGGATCAGTGAGCAGGAGCATTCGAGTAGGCTGCTGCAAGGCAACACTCTATCTGGCAATGTTAGCTTTCAGAAATGAAGGGGAAATAAAGACTTTCCCAGACTAACAAAAACTGAGGGACTTCATCACCACTAGACCTGCCTTACAAAATGCTGAAAGGAGTTCTTCAAGCTTAAATGAAGCAATGCCAATTAGTAAATTGAAAACATGAAAATATATAACACACTGGCTAAGGTAAATGTACAGTCAGATTCACAATTTGGCGGTTTGTTAAACACTTACCTATAGAATAAAGGTTAAAGGACAAAATAGCCAGGTAAAATTAATAAGATGCTTTAGTAAATTCTTACCTATCAATCATTACTCTAAACGTAAACGGATTGAATTCTTCAATCAGAAGGCGTGGAGAGACTGGATGGATGAAAAAAGAGCAAATAACATGCTGTCTAGAAGAGACTAACTTCAGCTTTAAGGACACACGTAAGATTAAAGTGAAGAGATGGAAAAAGATTCCTTGCAAGTGGAAACCAAAAGAGAGCAGGGGTAGCTATAATTATATCAGACAAAATAGACTTGAAGCCAAAATGTTTAACAAGAGACAAAGAAGGTCATTATAGAATGTAAAATGTGTCACTTCGTCAAGATGATGTAACAATCATAAATATATCCCCACACAACATTAGAACACATAAATATACTAAGCAAATACTAACAAATCTCAGGGAAGAAATGAACAACATTACAATAATAGGGGACTTCAATGCCCCACTTTCAAGAATGGATAGATGGTCCAGACAGAAAATCAACGTGAAAATGTTGGACTTAAGCCATACATTTTTTTTAAAGATTTTATTGCAGAATTGGGGAGGGGAACAGCAATGGGGAATCGGGGAAGGGGAACAGACAAAGTGCTGTCCTTTTCTTTAGTCTAGTTGTGGAGGACATCACTTCACTGGCCCATGTTGGTTTTATCATTGCACTTTTCCTGGGTGAGGCAGTTGCTCACTG